CCTAAATATCGTTAAATGTTTTTTTTTTTTTTTTTTTTTTTATATATATATATATATCGCGCTTTTCTTTTCTTCATATAAATTTATCGTCTCGTTCTCTCCAGCGACTACCTCATATCCCACGGAAAGATTTTCCACGAGTTTTCTCACAAATTGCAACGACTGTGACGATGCACCTGCATCGAAATGCAATTGCGCAAGGTGCGTACGTTTTAGGCCTCCGCCATTCTGCAGTCGTTCCGGTTATTGCTCGTGGTTTCTTGCACTCCTATTTTTCTTTATTAATCCTCGACAAAGAAACTAACCTAACGCCGCGACCATGAGCGTGGCTCGTACTTTATATGATGCACACACGGAAATGGATTTTCATATTCACCGGGGAAAAAATCATCCTACTCAATGTGACTGTTAGGTCTAGCAGTTTTTAACGGTATATGTATTAAAAGCGCAAAATGAAATATTATTAATTTAGTATTTGGGAACGTATTTGCCATATCGTTGAATTTAAGAAAAAATAGTATTTACATTATCGAATAACGTAATTGTACCTTAAAAATTTCTATACTCTGTTTTGTCAGTTTTCGTGAAAATTTTGACAGCTGCGACACGCGGTCTTGAATATGCTGTACACGCCGCGCGCTGGATATTGGAATATTGCCAGTTGGGATTCTGTCGTTACTGAATCTTTCGAAATTTTTGCGCATCGACTGTTGCATTTGGTATAATGGAGTAATTTTGAAAAATTTTAAGTAAAATTATTAAAAAGTCTGCCTCTGTAAACAGATGCTCCGAGGACTGTGTCAACTGACAATAGGCGTTACGCTTTGGTTCTCGGTTTGTGCGGGAGTGCATTTTTTCTTGTGTTTTCTGGTTTTCTCGCGTTGTTTTGTTTTAGGTCGGTGTCATAATTTCACGTGACTTCGCGAAACGCAAAAACGTTGCGCTTCTTTTTATTTCGCCAAGACAAAAAGGATCCCAGGGGGTACGCACTGAATTTAAAGTATCCAATTATTCGCGTTTTGAAGCTACAAAAGCGCAGCTGTCATCCATGCCTTAAGAGTTGGAACGCATCCAATTTTTATTTAGTTTTTGAATACCCCAAAAAAAAGTGTACACGTAACATCAATGCGACACGAAATTTTGAAAATATAAAAAGAAAACGGGTGTTAACGCCCAAATGTTTTATTCTTATGTAAAATCGCGAAATTAGCCACAACTCGAAACGCGGAAATATACATAGAGAATTCGCACATTTCTAATGACACACGGTACGAATGCAAAATGCAAAACTCATTTTGGGTGAATTGAAAAATTTCGGCTGAAAAAGCTTCCTGGCACGTTGAGCTTTTCATTGCAGTCACGAGCACACGCGTGTTCAGTAATAAATTTTGAGTACCACGGATTCGCAACATTTTCCAGCAGCGCAAACGCGCGTAAAATTTCAGGTAAAAACGTGGCAAACATTAGTCACGAGAAATTCGAATTGACATTTCTGCCGAGTAGCGTATTTTACGGGTTTGACCCATTGATGACAAGTAACAAAAAAAAAAGCCCTGACCATCGTCATTGTTTCAGCGTGTCCGAAGAGCGCCTATAAGGGTAACAGCAAACCAGAGAAACGAGATTGTCGAGGAACAAAAAAAAGTAGCAGATTCTCCTAAACTAAATCCCAGCGAAAATTTTGCCTCGTGAGACGCGCGCCGGTCATTCAGTTTCTATCGCAACGTTACTCGCTTTAGAAAGCTAAATTCGCTGTATTCAGTAGGTTAAAGTAGAAAATTCGGTTTGACCTCGATTTAGATGCACGTAGCGTCAAAGTCCCTAGATTGGTGTATATCGACGTAGCGCGAGTCGACTCGAGCGAGAGGTTTGCACGACATTCACCGGCGTATGTCTGGTTACATAGCTAGCGAGCGCCAAAGTCTCTCAGAAGGATTCCCTGTACTTAATTGAATCCTGCAAAATTTTTATTCCAAATTAAAAAAAAAAAATCATCCAGACCCTTCACCTAAAACTTTCAAATATTCAAAATCACGGAATATATCCCCCATACCAGCAACAAGGTCTCTCTCTACCTATATTCCCCAAGACATCCGCCTATCTCAATACCAGAAATGGGACTAGAAATAAAAGGCGTCCCAACGCCCAACCATACGTAAACCTAAGGCACATTTCTCATGTGGCTGACATCGGTACGACCCCAAGGTGGTCTCCTCCTCTCTCGTGAATTCCCAAAGGAATTCTCAGGCCAGAGGAGGAAGGCAG